TCTACATTTTATTGGAGGTTATAAGTTTAGCGCTACATTATTATTGTCAACATAAGGTCAGAAATCCTTTGTGCTGCTTTGTATCAGTCTTGAAATGTACAATAATTATGAAATTTTGGGAAATTAGTTTTATTTAAAATTTTGGTTATTTTAATTTCTGTGTTCTGTGCAGTGTGGATGTCCAGATTCACATTTCATTTTGAAAAGGTGTAAAAATATCCTGACGTCACTAAAAAAATAAAGAAATAAATAAACAAATGGCTCGGGGATTAAAACAAACCAAAGGCGATTATAAGGAAGCTGATTTCAAAACAAAATATTCCATAACAACTGAAATTGCAACGTGTGAGAAATATGTAAAATAATAATAAGACAATTTTATAAAAAAAAAATATATCTATATGAGAGACTAATCGTTATTTATAACCAACTTGTTTTATGAATTGGTCTTTAACCTTCTTTCACAGCTATTTTTATCAGTGTAAACGATGATGATGATCCAAATCAGCTCTGCTTTTGTTGACTTCAACAGTCTACAATTACATTATGTCAGGACATATTCACACTAAACAAATCCTATTTTCTCAATCCTACGTGTGAAAATAGCCCTTTAAGCTTGTTGCTTCAGTTTGTGAAACAAATATGAAGGATTCAGTTAATGATTGTTTTAGTCATGGGAGAAATCTTTTTAAGAAGTTGACCTCAGGTGAGGAAAACAGGACTTTTACCATGTCATCCCCATTAGTCATCCATCTCTAAATATTTACGTTTGCAAAGAGTGAAAACAGATGTGTGGTTGAAACAGAAACAATGAGACAAAATCGGAACAAGATTTACAGAAAGAAAGAGAGATATAACTACCAAACTGTTCAAATGCTAGTCTTTTCTGTGCATAAATATTGGGATAATTTAGTGAACTTAAATGGTAGGTGGACTAGATTTATACAGTGTTATTCTAGTCCCCTCGATTTGTGGCAGGAGAAAAGCTGGAATCAAAGCAGTAATTCTCCAAATCCATGATAACTGTTTGGAAACTTGAAGCAGCTGATGAGCCAGTCATCCACTTAGGCCTGAAAATAGTTTCACAGAAAAACACTCTTCTTCCTGATCATGCCTCTTTTGTATTTCATTGAACCATTTTGTAGGTACCAACCACTGCAAAACACCAAACCATCACAATTTAAACCTTAACCAGAGTACCTTAATAAGCACCGTCTGTGAAAAGCAAATGAGTCATTATCTGAATTAAATAATATTGACAGAGGTGAAACAATATAATCTTACAGCCCTTTTATTTGCCCCCAATGAGCACAAAAAAAAAAAAAACTAACCACAGACAAGCACATGTCCACCAACATATCTTCAAAGGTCTAAAAACGGTTTGCTTTGAATTTGACTCAATAACTTTAGCTAACAGAAATGAGAGGTTCAGTTTCCTGCACCGCTCTGCCACACTGAAAATACTCTGCAGGCTATCTGGAGCACTTTAAATATGAGGGATTGCATGCTCATCAAAACATGACAAACACACACACACACGCAGAAAAAATCCTGGCTCTCCCACTCACTTCTGCCTTGTTATAAAGAACTTGTTTCGCATGTGCTATATGATTTGCTCTGGCAGCTTAAAGCCAGCAGCAGGTCACCAGCAGGTCCGACTGGTAGATTGTGGTTATTCCCAGAACTACTTGTCCTTAACCAGACCCTGCTTCTTTAGCTTAAAAAAAAAAAACCTGCGTGAGTTAATAGGATACAGTAGAGAGTGACAAAGAAGATGGGTCAGAAAGAGAGCGGAGGTTATTGGGTCAAGCAAGATCTGCTTTCACTCTGAATCATATAGTGCAAAGGTTTTTAGAGATGCTATATTAAAACGAACTATGTTAATGGCAGTCCAGAAAAATAAACTATGAAAACAGAAATAATGTATAATTCTTATAGGGGTCATTTCCTGCCAACATGTAAATCAGCAATTTTGCTGGGAAGACTAAAACAACAGGAGTTTATTTACTTTTAGAAAAAATAACCACACACGTTTTCTTTCCGTATATAAACTGGTGACCCAACACTCTAAAGTTTCACTTGGTGACTTTACTTTGGGCTTATTTTTGTGACTTCTGCAGATCTTGAAAAGAGATAATAATAATAAAAAATAAATAAATAAAATTCCTTGTTGACAGTTGTTTGTCCTTAATCAGAAAATGTGCTTTTTTTTCAGCTTCTCTGAGTTGTAAAGTGCGCTTGTGTAATATAATTTGGTCGTGAACAATAACGCCGCATTGGTTCTGCTTGGTGCATCTGAACTCTTAAATGATTAAATGAAAACAACCAAAATGATTTTTTAAAAACAAAAATTTGGCACACAAATATTCATTTACAGTGGATTTTCTCTAATTTACACACATTTAAATACTTATAAATACACTGCCACTAATATTTAGAGGAAGTTGCAGAAAAACCAGGCACTTTCTGTTGGACAACCATGAATTAGAAGGGCCAAGAAAGAAAATCTTCTTTCAAAGCCCAACAACTTGATATTGGACTGAAAATGGTGGAGGCCCATGTGAATGAGCTAAATGCCTTTTGGAGAAATTCACTGTTAAGTGAAACAAAGATTGACCTATGTGGATGCAATGACTAGAAGTACATGTGGAGCACTCAAAGTAAGGTTTTCAAGCCTAAAAAGACCACAGTGGTGGCAGCATTATGCTGAGGGCCTATTTTGCAGGTTGCTGGTACAATAAAAAGATCTACTACCTGCATATTCTTTGACTACACCCCTAAATAATCAGTAGATAGACATAAACAGATGTTCCAAAAGGACAACAGTCTCCCCTAAGCACAACAGATGTGATTTTAGAAAAAATTAATTAGCCAAACATTGAACTTTTATAATGGCCTTAACTCTTAAAGTTATGCTTATGCCTCCTTTGTATGTAGCTGCCGTTGCGTTTTTTCTAAGATAACTAGCGGTAAAACATGACAAAACACACCAGGCTCAGCATTGGGTAAACTTCAGCTACCCATCCTGTGTCACTTCCAGGAGCAGACACATCCTGGAAGTGACTCACTTCTCATAGCTTGATTTTCAACAGAGTATGATGGAAACCCTCAGCAGAATGACTTTTATTTTCCCCACCTACTGAAAAAGAATATCCCATGCACAATAAAAACAAAAAAAGGTGGTTCTTTAAGAAGAATGCAAAGGAAGGAAAATGCGCCACAGATCGTGTTTGTCAGCGTTCTAATTAAGCCTGCGTGTGCCCTGCATGTGTGCTGTGAGCGAGTGAGGATATCAGGAGGTGAGTTTGTCTGCACGCTCATAGCTGCGTCTGTTCAGGTTGCCCCCTGTAATTATCCAGCCCTTTCACCATGCGTGGATGCTGACCGAGCAAGCTTGGATCGGGATCTGTTGACTGGTAATATAGAGGGAATTTCTTTTGGCACAGGATCCCCCGGCTGACACTGGAGAGGCAGGCAGTGAAGCCACGGGCATGGAAGGACGCCGGGCACAACTCCCAACCACACTGGCTCAAAGAATGCGGAGACAGATGACAGGATTGATGGCTTAATTAGGACTTAGTTCACGTCTTTGACTCTTACATGGCCTCGCACGCGCTCAGACAGAGATGCACACAAGCCCACCTAACTTTATGATCGCCTCCAGCATTTAAGGTTAGCACAGAGGGTATCGGAGATAAAAACAAAGTCTATTCAATAAATAACCCTGTTCAAGTTCAGTCACGGATCTCCTGCACTAATTTCTTTAAAGCTCAAATAGAGGGCAGCACCTGGAGCAGCGGAGATATTTTAGGGTGTACTGTTTATCATGTGATGCTGATACTTTTCTTTCATTTTGTGTTGCTTGTGCAATTTTCATCCTGCTGTCTTGAATTTTTCCGCTTCTTTTCATGAGAAAACTGCTCAAGAGTGTATCCTTCCAAACTAAAACTCACGTTGCACTTCAAATGAACACACTAAGCTCTTTCTTGAAATTAATCCGCGCTTCCCTGAGACAGCTCCTCTGAGTCTGAGACCAGAAAAAAGACGAGGTGGCTCCGATTGACCCCAGAGGCCAGGTTTTTCCCCAAGTATCTTGTTAACAATTGATGGAAGAATGATGGAAGAAATGGATAGAAGAATTTGGGTCTCATTTGCAGCAATGAGGGCGACGTTCCCCTCTATCGTTTGTCATTGACATAGATTTTAGCTTCGCTCCCTATGCATTTGTTATGTTGTGTGGGTTCAAAAACTTTTTCTGAAACCAATCCTGTGTGTATGACAGTATTCCTCTAAATGATGTGGCAGAGATCTTTGTTTTTAATAAAGACCTGGCTGATTTGTATGCAAGGTCTCAGACTGTTTTGGCTTAGTTAAAACTTACAAATCCTTGATTAGTTTATTGGAAAGCTAATATATCACTATCCTCTGCCGATGGATGTGTGCAGATTGTGTGTGTGTGTGTGCCTCCAGATATGTGAGAGAAACGGAGAGGTCAAAAGCCTCATACTGAAACCAACATGTTGGAATTTAAACTCAGACAATGGATGCCCGCTGCTAAAGATGACAGTCTCATCTGGGGTGGATTAATGAGTGTGAGCATGCTCATTGGGGTCAGTAGAGCATCCTGCCAAAACCACTGTAGTATGAAATGGCAAATGATGAGACAAAGTCAATGACAAAATACAAGAGTAAAAATATATTGTAAAAAAAACAACAAAAAAACATGTTCTTTTTGTATTTTATACTTAACAATTCCTTAATTTGTTACAGCTGGCCTCTCTAAACTGATTAGATGCACCCAAGCCAACGATACTCAACAATACAGTCTGAGCCAAAGTTTGGACCACAAACCTCATTAAAAAGTGAGGAGGAGGAGGATCACATGGCAAGTGAGGTCATTACATAGACTACCCATATCGACGCACCATGAGATACTCTCCCCACTTCATGGGGAGAGCTTTAAGATACAGTTATTACATTACAAAGCAAGCATGGCTGACCTGGAGTACAGGTGGACCTTTAAGCTGCTCAAGGTCCCACTCCTGGCCTGTGGAAAAACTTGAATTTCCAAGACAGGAAACCCTATGTGGAGAAAAGAGAGACTCATATAACCACTGCATGATTCCCTAATATAAAGTGTTTGGGCTCTGAGAGGATCAGAGTAACAATGCTAGTCAGAACAGGAGCAAAGGAGCAAAAATTACATCTAACCTGAACATTTTAGAGTTTTGAATGCTAATTTTTTTTTTTTTTTTTTGTCATAACTGATTATTTTCCATTGTGGTAGGCTTACGAGGACCGAGACCTTTTATGTCACTCAGGGGTCTGCAACGCCAGACCTCGAGATCTTGTGCTATGAAAATGTGTGATTTTAGCGATTTCAGCCATGGAAATATATTTGACCGTTGCTTCCTGTGAACCAGAAGACAGTTGAAAAGATGTTTTTTTTTTCTCTTTAATGACTCAACAAACAAGTTTATAATGAGGAAGATTTCTTATCTTTAATTTTTTAGGCAAAAAAAATATAAAGTAAATCAATATAACTTCTCTCATAGTCTATATGCAAGTAATTAGTGAGTCACCTCTTAAGTTGTGTTAAGTCCACAAATAGTCAATCGTGCGTGGACCCCCCCCCCACACACACACACACACACTCTTTCATCCCCAATTCCTCAAGGCCTCAAAAAATATTTTGCCGCCTCTGAGCCGGAGTGCAACTATCAGCTTTTAACAATTACTGTTACCGCGTTACTACAAGCTGTACTCCAGACCAGCCGTGTAATCCTAAGAAAAGTCAAACCACCATCATGCGTAAAAACGGTGATGCCGGTGTTGCGCAGGCTCTGTGGGGAATGACATCCCTCAAGAGAAAACTTAACTACCTACTTCAGCAGACCTCTAGCTGCTTCCTTATACGTTTAAAGGGAACTTCAAGCAAACTTACCGGTTCGGTGAATGAATGTAGCTGAAGTTAATAGTTGAAAACGAGCATAATTATCGTCATGGGCTCCACCGGGCTGAGCTGAGCTGGCAGGTGCTGGTAAAACGCTTGATAGGGGATGGAAACCACAAAGCCGGTATACGCGAGGATCCCCCCGCCCCCTCCCTTTCTCTGTCTCTCTGCGGTGTGTGTGAGTGTGTGTAAGAGAAAGAGAGGGCACAAACGCTGAGCTGGCTCAAAGTCAAGTGAGCTCACGGTGCGTCACTGTGCGTGCGCTTCCCAGGCGAGGGGCGGCGGGTCACAGTCTGCTGCATAATAACAGCTTGTAGTTGTCAAACAGACGCAAAGAGCTCGATATCGACTAAATATTCAAATGGAGCCAAAGTTTTAAATACAAGAAGCAAATTTGAAAAGTTAAAGAAATAAATGATGGGGGGCGGGGGAGGATGATAATTGCTACAGAATCAGGCTATTCACTGAGTGCTGTATCCAAACATGGTAATAAAAAGTGAAGTGGAAGGAAAAAATATCCTTGTACAAAAAAAACAAAAAACAAAAACATGCATAATTAGCTGGGATAACTATTCAAACGTCACAAGAGTAAATGTTTACAGGACACAGACTGCAGCTGCCCTTAGGTCAGAAACTACAGACTTTCATTCAGAAAGCAAGCTCCCAGAGCGGAGAGGCGGAAACCAAATTATTTGAGCTCCAGGGAATTTCTGCTACATTGATGATTTGAGGAGACATTTCATGAAGCTGGTGTTGATCTACCATCTTTTACAAAGTCCAAAGTTATCTCATCAGTTACTTTATGGTGCTGTGAATTATTGATATACAGCTGTGCTCACCTTTCGAAATCTTTAAAAAAATGTTTGAACTCACTTCAGACTATTTAAGTTTTTATTACCTCTTACTCTTGACAGAGATGACTTGTAAGTTCACTAATTTGGTCTATTAGGGAAAAGGCGAGTTTTCACTGAGATGAAGCACAGAAGAAGACGGCCTCTTAGTGTTGATCGAGTTTCCCATAAATGCTGAATTGATTACCATTCTGTCCCTTTCAACTTGGAGCCATTTCCATTTGAAGTTTCCCTCATTTTCTCACAGAATTTCCAAATGAGTAACTGAGCCTTTCTGTGGACTCATATATAACTTAGTTATTGTGGCAATTTGCACCAATAGCTTAAAAATGTTCCAGATACGATCAGTGGCAACATGTGGCATAGATCAGGCTTCGAAATATAAAAATAAATGAATGAAAGGATTCCACCAATGAATGATTTTCAGTATCAGTTGCTCATTTTGATGAGACAGATGGAGCTTTGTGCTGCTGTTTTTCCAGCCTTGTTATAGTCATCCTGCAGATCTTCGTTGTGAGCATGTGTGAGTCTTCATGAAGGAATGGCTGTTTGTTGGACTGCAGTGTTACAAAGCAATTTATTGTGGGTCAGTGGGGCTTAAATGTTTTGCTGAGTAACGCTGAAGGAATGAGCCACAGAGGTAACTTTGTGTCCAGGTTTGAGTTGCTTTTTGATGAATATGAACATTGATTTGATTTAAATTAAACAGAGTGGAAGGAATAAAACATGTATTAAAGATACATGTTAGGACATTTATTTTCTAATTTGTGTTACTGTTTTATAAATAAATAAATAAATAAAAATAAAAATAAAAAAAAAAAATATATATATATATATATATATATATATATATATATATATATATATATGTGTGTTTACAAAAATATTGCCGTTTAGGGATGATTGCTGTATTTGAACCCAGAAAATATTAAAATATTAAAACATCTGTGACAAATAATGAGTACATAATTTTACTGTGAAAATAAATTATGTTAAATTATGTTAATTACTAATTAATATTCACAAATATTCTAGGGAGATTTTATTTTCTTCTTTTTCTTCAAGGCAAACAGACCATGCAATGCCCACAGGATATTGTTTTTAAGATTCTGGATAGTATTAGTTTGAACAAAACAAAGAAACTGAATATTAGTTCAGAAAGTAACATCTAAACAAGCCTTTAGACTTCTTGAAACATGTCAAAATAAACCGCTGTTTAAATATGAGGCACAGCGTCGCAAACTGCTATAAGACCGTCAAGCATAGAGGAAGAAGGTTGATGATTTTGGATTGTTTTTTTCACCCCCAACACGACTTGAGCACCTTGAAGTCACTATGCCAGCAACAACGTCCACTGCACAAAAAAATCTGGAGTCGGATAGGAGACTATCCAAGAAGTGAAGCTCGGCACTAAAGCTGTCTCGCAGCAGAACAATTTGTTCAAGATTAGAAGCAAATCTATAGCAGAGTGACTGAACAAGAAAATAACCAGGTTGTTACTATGACCTAGTCAAAGTCTAGAGCTCAACCTGAAGGGAATAGTTAACAGATCAGTCCAAAACCGTTTAACTGAACAGAAATGACAACACAAAGAGTAAAACAACTTTCACACAACAAAAATTGTTGAGACTGCTATAGTTTTATTGCCTAAACGTGTCTTTTCATTGATGATCAGCTGTTTGTCCTGAAAGATTTGAGAGATGACATACATTGCTTTTGAATTACGAGCATCTTCAATAAATATTCAGTATTAAAAATAGAAACGCTTTACAAAAGGCGAAATACTCACAATCCTGTTCTCAGTAGTTTTACCTAGAATAAAGTACTATAAGCTAAAGCTGTAAGTCAAGAGAACAAACACAAGCTGGCCCCAGTGAAATTATTTATTTTACAGAGGAACCCAAAGTGACAAAACTAGAGCAGCTACATACAGGAAGAAACGCCAATAGACTGCAGCCATGACAATATGTCAACCAGAGGCAGAGGAAAACAGAAGGTCAGCAGAGCAAAAACTGATGTTGCTTTTCCTCCCTGCAGAAATATAAGCAACAAAGCAAACATTTTGAAGCTACCATAAATGCAACTCCATCAATAAAACAGAAATCTGTTTATTACAAATCTTTTGTCAGAGGTAATATTTTTTCTTTCTTTCTGACAGTTCAAAGGTTTTTTTTTTATGACTAAAGGCGCATGCAGAGGACTAAAGAGGAGAATACACACAGACAAACTTCACAGAAACATAAAAATATGCCATACAACTTATATCAACAATTGAGGACCGTGAGTGCACTATTTACAGAAATGAAGCAGTATATATACCAATATTTACATCAATACGACTTAGTTCACATGTAGTCACGTACATGTCAGTGAGATTTATGGAAAAGTTGGGATGACACCGATTGTTACCATTCGCCTCCTTCTCCTGGTCACGTTTAAAGTAATATGCAGATTGATATTCATACCTTCATATTTAGGATCTAACGTTTCGTAAGGAGTCTTAGCAGATCCGTTTCGCTCATTTCCATCTACTTCTTCTCGAATTATTAATAGGTGTTACTTCTGATGAACTCTTTTCATTTGAACCTATTAAAAACATTCAACTGAAATTATTTATTACAACCACAACGCAAAAAAAAAAAAAAAAATCAGCCAAAACTACAGTTCTGGTCAGAGAACGTGAAAACACAATACAGGCTACCATCTTTGAGTGCTTTTCTGCTACCTGTTTGTGGAGTTCATCGAAAAGAACAGTATGTGTACCTCCTATAGCCAGCATAAATGTATATTTTACATACAGAAAACACAAAAGTCAACGTTTTGACTGATCATGCGGTTTAAAAACAAACATTTACCTCACATCAACAATTAGGAATGTTTTAGGGATTCTTCTTGAAAGTAATCGTTTCTGCTGGGGATGGAAAAAAAAAAAAAAGGTTAGCAATAAAATTGAAGACAACTATGTGGGTAGTAAGCATAGCTTAGCCCGATTCGTAAACCAACAAAGTGGGCAGAAAACAGGGCCAAAAAAAAGGCATCTCCTTTTATTCATCTCACCTAAATAAATGCACTTGAGGAAATGAATCCACATCTACACTAACAGACGCTAACTGGCTAGTTAGCGGCTAAAGCAGCTAAACTGATTCTCTTAGTTATTTCACAGGGAGAAAGAGCCAAATGTGGATGTATTTGGAAGTGAGAATCTTGAGGTGAAGAGCCCAGATGGCTGATAAAGTGCAATGAGGTTTTCAAGGCTTTGAGGGATCAAAGACAATCACCACTTAACCCCCAAAGCCTGAGGCTAACACCTACGAGAGCGTGTGCAAGGACAAGAAATCAAGGACAGGTGACTTTTACTTGTGTGTAATGGCCTTAACCTTTAAGCCTCCTGAAGAAATGCGTAGGCACTAAGCATTTGTCCTACTGACAAACTAACTTGTTTGTAAATACCAGGTGTAAAACTCCCTCTGGATTTGGGGTTTTTGTAAGATAAAAAAAACAACTATGAAGCATATTTGGCACACATACAGGCATCAGAGTGACTGTGCTCAAGCAGTCCAAAAGCTGCTTTCTGGTACTGTACAAGGCAAAATCGTGGGACATTTATCCTACAGAGAAAAACATAATTTTTGGTCTAGTCCAAACCCTGCACTGTGAACTGTTGTGACCATGAGGGAATGGAGCTAAACCGCTTGTTTTAATTCACTCTCATAATCAAGTCAGAGCCTCTGTTTTCATCGTTTCCAACAGAAAAAAGTGAAGGAAGGCTACATCTTGTATAAATTAAGTGCTGTAAAAGGCGGCGCTAAAATTAAAAGCATAAATACTGTACACAACTATTTCTGCGTCCGCAGCTTAGCGTCATCAGTGAAGAGGTTCATGACAGAACTTCAGCTGACTTTTCATGGCAAAAAAAATACAAAACATATCATTAACGTATACAAGGCTTTGGCATGACTGTGTTGAGGAACGCACTTATATTTCACTTCCCAGTGGGACACATTTTAAGCTTTAACTGACAGCAAAAGTAAAACTGACCGAGCCAACCAAATGTGATTTTCTGCAAAAAAAATCATATGTTTTTTTTTATTGTTTAATAAGACTGTGTGCAATGTTTCGCCGTAACGCTCCCTCTAGTGGCGGAAAAAGGACATTGGCAGTTTCACAACTATTACTAGCCATTGTGAAAACAGATAATCACCACCTGACTGGAATCAGAAAAATCTGACAATACATCTGATATTAAGGCTAGCATTAAATTTCAGCTGAAAAAATAGGACTAAAATAAAATAAGAATTTCAAACTACCATTCTGAGCTATGTTACATTTAATGTACATTGTTACAGCTGATCATCTGCGGATGAAACGATGGACTGAAGTATTTCAAGTTCAAAAAGACTACATTTCAAAGAAAATGCAATGCCTCAATCACATCACATGACTCAATCCTCCTGTTTTTGTGCACAGACACCCTGAAGAATCCAGATCCGCCTGTGTAAGTTCTTTATTTGTCCTCAGTTTGAAAATAAGTTCGTCTGTGCACGTTTGTTTTTGGAACTTCAATTTTCCTATATCTCTTTCAACAGAAAAAATTAGCAAAAATGCACACATCACCAGGAAGACAACAAAAGCCGAGTGTGTGATGTGGTGGTATTCATTCATAAATCCAGGAGGGAGCTCAGAGTCGTGTCATAGCACATAGAGACGGATGGACTGAGCAAAAAAAACAACAACAAAAAAAACAACGCCTAAAGGTGCTGGAGGGAGATTGGTCAGACGGGGTGTTTGATTGTCTCAGACTCTCCAGAGCAACAGGTGATTGGTGCTGTCATCTCGACCGATGGTTTCACTGCTGTTGGTCAGCCTAAAGTCCTCGTAGCCGTCTCCACCAGAAATGACGAGGTGGTTGGTCTTCACTGGGATGTGTGTGGAGGTCCTGTGGTGTGTGGAGTCTCGCCTCTGGAGGCTCCCGTCGTCTACGCTGCTGCTGCTGCTCGGAGGCCGATTGCCTAGATCCAGATAAACTGGGGTTATTTTTGTTCGATAATAGAATTTGCTCATCTGAAATACTTAATTGCCAAAAAAAAAAAGCAAAAACTTAAAAATACTTTTTCACAGCTCTGTAAACGTGAAGGAGTTTTTTCTTTGGTTTGTTTGTTTTTGCTAAAGCAACAAAGTACCTGTGGAGTCTGTTGTTGTTGGAGGGAAGTTCATGTCAAATCCTTCTGGTAGCTCAATTGAAGTCAGAAACCGAACGTGCCCTGTGTGACCGTGAGCCGATCCGATCGGAACCAGAGGCGACTTAAGAGTCCCGGCACCAGTTCCTGTGCTCACTGTCGGGATCACCAGTGTAAGGACCACTCCTGAAGAATATCAAATCTCTTTGAAAATCAGGGTCTACCACCTAAGGACCTTGAATTTTGAAAACTTATACAAAAACTCAAACTTAGAATTCATACAATAAATCGGCTTCAGATTCTGCAGGCCAGAAATGTTAGAATTACAATTTAAAATCTCAACGTAAATTTGCAAGCCACAATACAATACGAGACAGCTTATTACTGTGGGTTTCTTTTTTTCCCCATCCGATTTCAGTAATGTTGAATGGCTATTGTGCAGATTTATGTTGCATTTCTGCAGTCATTGTTCCATTAGCATTGTGCGACTGTAGGACCGCCGCAGTTAAATAGACAAACTCCGTGTCCTCACCTGCACTGGTGCCGATCCACAGCAGGTCCTTGCAGGCCAACAAGGCTGTGATCCTGAGGCAGGCAGCTTTGTGCTGTCTAATGATTGCATCTGCACCTGAATAAAGGTTTAAAAAACAAACAAAAAAAAAAACTATTCAGCAATTTTTAAACACTTTTTAGTCGTTAGCTCACCTGCTTCTCTCTGATAGACGATAACCTCTCCATTTGCTAATGATACAAACACTTTGTTGTCAAAGTACCTGACGTTAGAGGGGATAAAAACAAAAGTTGAAATTAAAAACATCAAGTTACAAGTTTCAAATGACTCAGCCTTCATAGACTGTGTTTCTGAACTATCAGTAAAATGATTTTATTTTTCCTTTTTATCAAAACAACTCTGAGTTGGAAATGATATCTCTGGATCTCAATTAGACAACCTCTACAATTAAAGGTCAAATAAATAAAGAAAACAAAATAAAGACTTTCAAAGACTGATGAGCCGTAAGTGCAAAAAGGCAGACTTACAATATACAGAGGATGGAGGCTGAGTGCTGCATCTTCATGCTGTTTTTACGGTTCCGAATGTTGTCTGAGGACTGGTACACGTGTATGCTGAAACAAACAGATGTCACAATTGATCAAGAAACCTGGACAAGACGTTGGCTGCCTCTCATCCAACAGCTGCTTTATATCCATGAATGCACGGATATTAACGTGCTGACAATGGATGGATGGATGGATGTGCTCAAGCACAAAACAGTAACTACAAAACAAAAGTTTCATGTTAAATCCACATACCATTACAAACTCAAATTTCAGAGCGTTGAAAGAAACAAAAGAATGAAGCAAAGGAAAAAGAGAAAAGAAAAGAAAGGAAGGTAGAAGGGTTTGTGAGAGACAGGATGGGTTGAAGGGCTTAAGGAAAGACACTGGGACAGGGAATACGAGGAAAGAAAAGAGTTCATTTCCCTACCATCCATCTTCTGTGCCCAGCCACACAGAGCTCTGGTACGCCTCTGGGTCAATACTCAGCAGATCCTCCAGACTCGCTCGGGTGAATGACCCCCTGGAGGACCGGCGCATGGCCCGGCCGTCCATGGGACTCTCTGTGTGGGCGCGACTCCCTCCGCCTACTCCCAGCATCCCAGGAGCACCATAGGAGCTCGGGACGGGGAACTCCTGCTCCTCCTCGCTGCTGGTGGTCTCCGTGGCCATGTCCTTGGAGCTCACACCCTCATCGTCTTCAGGAAACGAACAGAGTAATGCCCGGTGAGCTGGCAAAATCTGGTGGTTCAACTGGCTAAATCTGGCACAATTACTCACTGCCATAGCTGGACGATATGGTGGAGTGACTGGCCTGACTCTGCAAGGTTGAAGAAGGACTAGGTGAATCTTCATCGTCCGAGTCATCGCTGTCAAACGGCACAAGCTCCGCCCCTGGTCCTGGGGAAGATAAGCCAACAGTCTGAAGGAAGGCTTGTTTTTATTTAACGTTATCACGTCACCAGAAATTAAAAGATCCGACTTGATCTTATCTCACACAGTCCACAAATGACAAACTTTAGATGTTTATTTCTTAAAACCGTCACGGACAAGTTGGTCGATGTTGCAGGAAAACAACCTCTTATGTTTCAGAGGCTTTTTGTCAACTAAATTTAGATCACGTTCTAAGAAAACAGGGCCAACAAGTTAGCAAAGCAAGTGCATTTATTTCTCACCTACACAGCAAAATTATCAGACAGTGATCTACTATGAAAGCTAAAATTTATGGAGATTTTAAATCTCAACGTATTCCCACCGCCCTCACAAACATAATTCAAACAGGACTATAAGGAGGGTTTTGTGGCAGCAGCTGACCTGTTGGCTGCTCCGTTGGCTCCAAGGTCGAAGGTGAGATGGAGATGTCGAGCTGCTGCTGGGGATGAGTAGGAGGCCCGGAGGTCGGCGCAGGTTCTGACACACGATCCCTGAGAGGGCAACATGGTGAAAAGCTTCACAATCGCACTCATCAAATATTTCAGCTCCATCTAGAAATGTATGCCGGATCTCTACACGGCCAACAAAGTAAAGTGCAGCTGATTTTCCGACATATTAATCTCAGAGCCAGGTTTAATTGAATTTACAACCAAACGTGTGTCGTCCTCAAGAACACGCGTTTCATGTTGTTTTTGGCAACATGTCAATAAGGAAAAATAAACGATTGCTCATTAACTGTGCACCCACCTTCCTTTGAGTCCTGGAACCGCAGCGATACAAATGATCCTGGCCGAGCAGACGGCGATGCAGGCCTCCACCGTGGGCTCATCTTTGATATTCAACAAGCAAACCTGCAACGAAGACGTCACATCACTCAGAATGGCTGCAAATTGAATTTGCTATTCGTAATCGGGTAATCTTTAGCCATGTCCTCTCACCTGGCCTACATATCCATCACTGTTACACACCCAAACCTCACAGCCACTGTCGGGACAGCTGTGGCTGGGCGAGGCACATGAAAACTAGAAAAACAAACAAATCATAAATACATGTTGTTGTTTTTTCAGAACCTGTTTTTTCCCCCTCATTATTTGATTATTTGGTACAAGCAAAATCCAACAAACACACACAGCAAGCAAAAGTTTTTTTTGTGGGTAAAAAAAACAAAAAAAAAAAAAAAAAAAAAACACACCTGCATCCCACTGCGGGTCTTCATAATAGGGATTGCCTTCAGGAACTCTGGGTCCCACTGGTCCTTGTTCATGGCTAAAATAACACAAAAAAATAATCAGGAAGATTTTAACACCACAAGTAGAGCGAGGCTGCTCCGATTCATGAAACACATGTAAAGTTTTCTTAGATTTTGCAAAATTGAAAGGAGATGTAGCTTCTCAGCTACAGGTAGACATAAAAGTTTACTGAAAAGAATCTCATCCCCTTCGACATGATAGATTTCCTCACTGACCCAACTTTTTCTTGGCATCCTCAAAGGCCTGTTCGAAGCTCGACCGAGCGTCGGGCGAGCTGAACTCAAAGACGAAGGTGCTCTCAGCCGAGGCCGTTGTGAACTCCAGCTTTGTGGGCAAGAAGGTCATGCTAAAGGCCAAAGACTGTTTCTCAGAGAGCTCTTTGTGGACTGATGCCATCAGGTCTTTTATGACCTCATCTAGGGACTGAGAGGAGCAAATGAAAAGATGGAAGAGGTTAGATAGATTCTCTAGTTCCTCCTCCAGAGCTGGAGATAACTAATATATTTTTCTAAACTTTCCAATCCAAACTCTGCACAGCCACATGTACCTGATGTGGGAAGCTCAGGGTCTCTGATAGTTTGCTGATCTGACCCAAAGTGCTGAGATCCTCATCTAATCGGGTAATCATCTTCTGGACGCTCTCTCTGTTGGTTGCCTGAGAAGAACCTTTGGGAGAAACATGAGAGACATTCAAACATTGGGTTACTAGTTTCTTTATCGTGCATGAAGTGAATTGATACAATAACACAAAAGTAAAAACTAGAAAAATAAAAAAAAAATTAAAAAATCTTACTTTTCACCACCTCCACGTCCTCCAAAGGAAGCTTCCACAAAAACTTGTATTTGCTGGAGGTATCTATCACACTGGCAGCAGAGTATCTGAAACAGAGAGGTCGCATTATTTTTTTTGAACACCAGGGGGCAGTGTGGGCTTTGTGCTGTGATGGCGCACATGATTGTTGCATACAGGCTCATGGAGCTGCGCCTCAACGAGCCAGACTTCCTCTTGAGGGTGGTGCAGATGATCAGATCGCTGAAGAGGAAGAGGGATCGGTCCTTCTTCCCCCCTACAGTCTTCTACACAGACACAGGAACAGCTCAGGTGATCTGAACCACATTCCTTCTGTAACGTTTGTTTGATACTACTGAATGCACCAGAAAAGAGTTTGCTACATTAATCTTACCGCCTCCATGACTATTTCCTGCCTCAAGAATTTCCTCTGTGGATTCAGAATCTGTCAAAGAAAAATAAAAAAAAAAGACAGCAATTAAAAAAAAAAAAAGGCTAAATCGACGCAGAACAAGCTCAGGTTGGTAGATGTAAAGTCAAAACATCTCACATGTTCAACTCCCTCTATGTGAGCCTCAATCTCCTGGATAACCCTGGCCTCCCTCTCCGCCTCCTCAGCGGAGCGACGCCCCTTGTTGATTTTCTCTGCCAGTCGGTGGATGTTCTTCTGCGCGTCCAGCAGAAACGGATGATCTGGATGATCCTCTGGCGTGTGTTTCAACAAGTCCTTGAACAAGTAACAAAAAAAAAAAAAAAACATGAATCCCTCTTTATACCACCCGAGTGCGGCTGAAGTCTCACTTCTAGCTGCGTAGCGCAGACGAAGCGGTCACCTTAACCAGCAGCTCGTATCGAGGAATCCTCTGCACCGGCTTGATCATCAGGTCGCCCAGAGCCTGCTTCTCCTTGTTCTCACGCATGTTTTGCTTTTGGATTAGAGGGAGAGAGAGAGACGATCGACACACAGACACACACACAAAAAAGAGAGCATCTAAGTGGTGAAATGGACCGAGGCCTTCCCTCCTGGTTAATGTGTTTGTGTTTCAGAGCTCCAGGTAAATTGGTGTTGATTGGAAATGGAGGCAGCTGGCCTGTATAAGACTAAAAGGCACACCACTTCCTGGAAGTCTCGCTCTTTTTTTCTTCTTCTTCTTGCCAGCCAAATCTAATTAAAATAAATCTAATTCTAAGTTACACCCGTGTGTTGCTTCCCATTGTTTTCTGGTTTTGGTTTATGAGCCAGGCCATAACAGTAGCTTGAATAATTTTTTTAATGGGACAATATTGAGGACAACCCAGGGCATTAAATGCAGCACAGTGAAACCAGCAGAAATTTTGGTTGGCCGGAAAAACTACGACAATGTGAATGATTTGTTGGAAGGTTTATGATAATTGGACGAAGTGTTGAGCTTGTTTCTGAAAATAAAAACTGTTAGGCAAGAGTCCTGCTCGAGGTACTTTTAGGAATCCTGCCCATCTCTCTGAAGACACTCTAATTGGTGGTCTACTGCAGGTAACATAAGTATTAAACTCCCTAAAATCTGATCTGTGGTGAACTTCACAGCTTCACCACAAGATGGCGAACTGGTTCTACTGTCCACAAATTTGACTGCAGCGCCAGAGCAGTCAAAAGAAAATCTCACTTATTAACATACCTGCACTGAATAATTATCATTACAGTATGTTTCAGATGAGAGGTTTGATTGCCTAAGCAGAGAATTGAAAGTTTGAACTAATTTTCCTACAAACAAAGAGCACGTAAAAGAAACACCAGAAACTTGGTCAGACACTCACCTCCAGAAACTTGTGAAATGCTGGTTTGGCCTCCTTTGCGATCCTAACTGCATCTTTAGCATTGAGGAAATTGTCGATGTATGCTGAATACGTATCAGCGAGAGCATCTTTGGAGAACTACAGGAAGAAAACAAAAACAAACAAACAAAAAAAAACAAACACTGATTACCCCTTTAGGAACATCAGCCTGAAAATGATGTTTTAACTTTGAAAGAAATAGGCAGTAATTTGAGCTCAATTTAAAATGAGGACAGAAATTTGGTGTTAGATTTAATCTCTGTACCAATAAATATGAAAAAAAAAGACAAAACAAAACAAAAAAACCCCACCAATACTAATAATAAAGCAACAAAAACAGGTTTACTTTCTTTTTTCCTCAACAAAAAACCCCTTTCAGATTCTAAGATTTCAAACTGTAAATGATTTAAGTTAATTACTTTTAAAAGAAAGGAAATTTTAAAATGCCACACTTGAAAATGTAGCTTTTTGACATTGCAAAATCAAGCAGGTTGTTATAAAAAACATAAAAACTTTTTTTTTAATTGTTCTTTGTCCATTCATCCGTCCATTTTCTTTGCACCGTCGTCCCTAGTGGGGTCGGGACAAAGGTGCTGGTGCCTATTTCCAGCGAGACATTTCAGGCAAGAGGCGGGGGTTATTGTTCTCAATTTTCAAAAAAAAAAAAAAAAAAAAACTATTTTCAAAATCTCTATTTGCTTATAGGAATACTTCCATCTAGTTACAGGAAACACAAACCAGGGCAAACCTAAGACACGCCACATTTCCCGTAAGCTAAATTTGCCAGGTTTCTGAGAAAAAAACTAAATCCTTCAGTCAATCTATTTATCTTGTATTTTTCTGTCTCCTTCAATCACACACATGAACCCAGATGACTCAGCCTGACCTGATTTTCCCTCAAATGGTTGAAGACCAACAGGGAGACAGAGAGATACAGAGAGAGAGAGAGCCAGAAAGAGATAGAGATAGAGAGACAGAAAGAGATAGAGATAGAGAGAGAGAGAGAGAGAGAGAGAAAGAGATAGAGAGAGAGAGAGAGAGCTGGAATTGTAGCACCGATCTAAACAGAAGAGGAGGGCGTGGAGGGAGCTGTTATTTAACCCGATTACAGAGTAAACAGATTTTTGTCACTCTATCAAATACGAGTTGACATTTTCCTAATTATCTCAGATTTTCTGTTCCCAACCTTTCATGCCCGATGCCCTCCCCTCTTTAATTTGTCCATTCTCTGACTTTGGGAACTCACAAGCAACGTCAAAACAAAAGCCCGAGTTGTGGAGGACACATGAGGTAAAAAGGTGAAGTTCTTTCCAGTAGATTTTTTTCTCTAAGTATAGCTCCCTCTGATCTTTACTTAGCTTTAATTAAGAGTGTCCACTCGTCTAAATGTTAACAAGAAGATTAAACTGTGCACCGCCAGAGAGTCGATAACACAATGCCTTGTGTTTAACATTTTAATCCCTTGATGTTTGCACACTTAATACGGTCAGGAAAAAAACAAAAAATCTTTTTAAGCACCGACTTTCAGATTCAAAACATGTCTGGGCTGTGTGCTTAAAGTGTAATTTATGCTCATGAACAAGTGCATTTTTTAATTAAAAGTTAGGGAAAGTAAAACGGCTTTATTGCTGTTTTATTTCTTCATTTAAGAGCAGAATTTGGGTGCTAAAAATGTGTTGATTCGTACGTGTAACAATGTCTTTTTCTTTTTTTTTTACATGAGCTCTACATATTTCATACATTTTATGTTACAGAAATAATAGCCCTTAAAATGTCATCAAAATACAGCCACAAACTGCAATCAATTTAACTGAAATTTTGTACAAAACAGCAACATAAAGTACTGTGTGTGGAAAACTGTGAATAAGACTAACATCCAAATTTTGAAATATATATATTGAAAATCCTAATATTCTCTTTCCTCAAAGGACAAAAGTCATCATATGTTTACTTTAAGATTTCTGACAACTTCTTGACACAATATGATCAATGTATTGACAATTTGCCTAATTCTACAATAAAAGTAATCTTGTCCAAGGAATTTAAATGATTAGATAAAATTATTCTATATAATCTAGACATTATTACAGCAGTCCCAGCTTTTAAAGAGAATTTGAATTACTTACAAATGTACATTGAAATACAGAATGTGTTTACGTTTCTAAGGATTTGCAATGTGAATAATCTGAAACAATTGAAGGATTACTGTCATACTATGTGATGACACTCCATAGCACATTTTCTGACGAGACAAAGCTGATTCTGACAGAGACACAAAGGTAGACAGCACCAGAAAAATGAAAACGACTAGTGACTGAAGCAGCCGAGGGGTTAAAAAAAAAAAAAAACGAAAAGGAACTTGCCCCGTGTGAGGCTCGAACTCACGACCTTCAGATTATGAGACTGACGCGCTGCCTACTGCGCCAACGAGGCCTGCAGCACACTGCAGCCGCTTCCGTTTAGATAGTCGGGGGAAGGTGGTGCAACAGTGCCTGCTAGTGGGGGAGAAATACCACCAACTACCTGCTATCGAGACTATTTCTCCATGTGGCTCCAGTTTTGCTTTAGAAAGTATAAGAAATCTTTGAGAAGCTTTTAAAAAAAAGAGATCAGACAGTGTTTGAATTTCACATGTAATCGGTAAAATGCTCTTAAGTTACTTTTAATTGAATTTATCAAGGCTTTATAATCACTTCAGGTCTAAAAAAGGGGGGAAAAAATCTAATGCAGAAACTAGAGATTTGTCTATGACATATTTCTGCTTGCTAGTTCAGTATTTCTCTTTCCTGCCTTTTTCAAAGACCAAACGTAACATTGAGACCGACGCTGATCGTTTGGAAGAGTGTTTGTTTAACATCTAGGTCTAGAGCCATCATTAGGTCATGGGAAGTTTTAAAAAGGGGCACAGAGCAAGCCACTAGAAAAAAACCAGTGCTGAAATATTGCCACATGTGGTCCGCCCCTCTTTATTCCAGCTTCTCCTTGTTGGAAGAATTATTTGTCTTTTCAGGACAAACAATTTTACAAATGTAGTATGTTTAAATGCACATACTACATTTGTCTTAGCCACTAAAATTAAAATATTCATTACAGAAATTGAACACTGTATGAATTTTGACAGAAAAATCTACATTAACCAAACTAAAACACAGTTTTATGGAGGTTTAGTAAACAAACCAACAGCATCCTCTACATTTACTGGATCTCCTTGGTAAATGTGTTGATACTAAGTTGAAGTAGCATTGTATTACACTGATAAAATCTGCAAAATCCAGTTTACAATTTCAGTACTTTTCTTTAGTGAGAATGAAGCCATAATTGCTTAAAATGAAATCACAGATGCCTCAGTCGGGTGAAGCTCAAGCAGTTCCTGTATAATTAATGCAGCTGAAGCTTTTTACTTAGATTTTAGGTTGACTTAGTATCTGGGAACGTTTAATCTGCAGTCCATGACTTTCTACTTCCTTGGGCTGTAATATAACAGACATATCTCTATGCTACTTATCAATATGGGAAAGATGAGAGAGCATATCATTCAATAACAGAATAATAGAATAGAAAGATTGCATTTTATCCCTCAAAGAAACTTTAGGAAACACAACTAGCATTTGGAAACCTACTGTCTTTAGCAATTTGTTTCTGATAAATGTAATACAAGCAACACATGAGAAAGTACTGTTTGCTCCTCCCCCTACACTATACAGTTTATATAGTTTTTGTCTTCATATTATTGTAAACAGGTTTTAAAAAGTTTTGTTTTTTTAAATTTCACATGAGATAATGTGCCAGAAAGAGCGATGACAACAAATGTGTGTACTTCGGGCGCGTCAAACGAAAAACAAATTTCGACAAGTCTTTTTTGTGACTCTTCTGCGAGAAAATAACTATCAGTCTAACAAATACAGCATGTAGTTCAGCCTCTATAAATGGACTGGGTATAAAAAAAAATGTTTTTCTCATTTTAAATGTTTATAAAGTGGCCACTGACCCAACATTCAAAACAGATGTGGGCCATAATCCAAGCAATCCACAAAGAAGTGAGGGCAGATATGTTCCCAGCTGAAGTTATAGGTAAACAACTGGAATGATAAAGGATATAGGTATCAAATATAATTGCAGAAATTAAATAAATATACAGTGCCAAAGTATGGCACAGAGTAGTGTGAATAGCAAAAGCAAAGATCCCTCCACAAAAAACAAAACAAAACAAATCTTACTATTGCTTATGGCATTGCTTACAGCTGCATTTTTAAACTTCTAAGTGTTACAGTACGATTCCTTGAACAGAGAATGATACCTTTGGCTGCATCAGCAGGCCACTTGTAATGTGGGTGGGGTGCAAGAAACACTGATCATCAGTCAGCTCATTTATGCTTAAAACTGGGAATTTTAGAACATCTATATTTGTTAAATTGGTGCATCACTTATAATTTAAGAGAGCACAGCTGAGAGGTACTTAAAAATGTTAAAAAAGGGGGGGGGGAAAAACAGGAAAAAAAACTGCAGATTCACACAGTTACATCTCAGATTTGTAGCAAGGCTCCTAATAGTGGAAATTAAAAATTCACCTGTGATCTTGAAAATGTCAATCCAGCCAATTTAAACTTCTCATCCATAACTTTTAGCTCCACTTACTGAGTGGATGAGGAGGTGTCCCACCGTCTGCCTGTCGTGCCATTGGCCGACACAGCCTGCAACCTGCTCCAAGAACTGTTCGTGATGCTCCAGGATCTCTGGGATCTGATAAAACATCTCGTCCACCAGCAGGGGGTCCACGATGGAGCTGCCGTCTGGTTGTTTCAGAGGACGCATGTAGCCCTGATGGAAGAAAAACAAGGACAACTCAGCAACTGAACAGTTTTAGATAAATTAAGGAGGCAGCTTTAATAAAGATTTGATATGGATCCAATTTCCAACTTATATGAAAGTTTTTGATTTAAAAAAAAAAAAAGAAAAAAAAGTGAAATTGGATTTGTGTTGTACTGAACCCATTAGGACATGGGGAACATTTTTTTTTTTTGTTACCTTGCAAAACTTTTGCGTTCCCTCGCAATATTTGCTAGTCTATATTGTATACATAGTCACAAATGTCAATTTAAAATTTCAAATATGTAGACTTTTAAAGATCCTCAGTGAAAATGTGTTTATTATTAACTCTTTCGTGGAAAAAATTGATCGAAAATCAATTTATTCACTGCATGTTAATGTCCGTTTGTGGAAGTTCGAGATGGAAACGGCCCTTTAAACCGTTCAGATTACCAACACAAAAGAGACACAACCAAAACTGTCAGATAACTTATTACCC